AGCTCCTGCGAGGGAGGCTGCGGCCCCCACTCAGTCCCAGGAGATGAAGGCATCTCTGTGGGGCAGGACCCCCTTCCCACCTCTGTCCTTGGCCACAGGCCTGGTGGCTGCTTCAGCGAGCGGTGGGATGGGGTCATCCTGCCGGCCCTGGAAGCGCAGGTCACAGAAGCAGTGCCGCCTCTCAGCAGGGCAGCAGGGTCCTGGCTCCTGGGCTGAGCTGCCCCTCATCCCAGAACCAGGAGCTGGGCCTCTGCCTGTACTGGGCTAACTGACCCACATCTGTCTTCCTAATTGCTGGCTGCGCAGGAAGCGGGGACGCTGGCTAGCTTTAGGCAGTCAGATTAGAAATTCAATGCACTAACCCCAGACTTAAGCCGAGGCCTAGGCGGAGGTGCTTACATTTTTCCTTTTCATAGTTTAACACTAAGCTCATCACTTAGAACACGAGAGTGGACTTGGGTGTAGATTTTGTTCTATGCTCCTTTTGGGTGGTCTCCAAGCTCCAGGCCACTTGACCTCCAGCACACGCCCCCTCTGGCTCTGCCTCTCGGGCACAGTGGCTTCCACGGCCCAGGGTTTCCTGGCCTGTTCACCAGAAACACACCCTGCATCCTGTCCCAGGAGGTGAAGCTGCCTCGCATACCCCACTGCTTCCCAGGACAGGCCAGGCCAGGCTGAGCCAGGCCAGGACACAGGACTGCCTCCCGGGACCCAGCTCCAGGCATGTACCCAGTGAGTGGAGCTGCAGCTCCGGGCCCTGGGGAAGGCGGGGAGGTTTCATGTCCTCCTGGCCTGCACAATGTTCCCTGTGATGGAAACTTGGGCTGAAACGATTTGCAGCTTTCCAGATTTTCTGAGCATGTGTGTGCATTTGCATTTATTTTTAGCCACAGGCGGTCATTTCTTGCCAAAAAAACCTGCTTAAATAAAACCAAGATTAATATTTTTACTGAATGGAAAGAGTTAGTCAGGACAGGCTTTGAACTGGAGGCTGCTTATCTGGATCGGGAGTGCATTTGAACGTCTGGCCTTGGCTTTGACATCAACAAGAGGGCCTTTGGGGCTGGCCAGCTGGGAGCATGCGCACAGGAAGCACCAGCTGGGGGTGGGAGGCGGGAAGTGGCCCTGGCTCCGCGGGGCAGTGCTTTCCCAGGCACCCCTGCCCTCTCCGGGCTTGTTCTGACTGCTTCCTGGCCTCGCGGGATGCAGCATGGGCCACCCTCCAGCCCCAGGTCACCTCAGGGCCTCACATCTCCACCTGCCTTGTGCAAGCCTGCTGCTGGCCCTGTCCCGGACTCGCCACACCTCGCACCTCCTCACAAGCCATCTCTGTCCCTCTGGCCCCCGAGTTTGAGTTCCGGGGCCTCATCTGTCACAGGATTCCTGGAAGCCAAGCCCAGCACTTTGTGCACGATGGACTCACAGATGTTTGTCTGACCTCACAGCCAAAACTCCCGGTACCCCATTTGTGCTGAACAAGGCCCGGGAAGATGTGGTTGTTCGCCAAAGCTTGCACGAGAGTTACTGATCTGTTTTCCATCACCTGCTGTGTGGGATGCTGAATATATCAAGTCACACTGGGCTTCATCTACTCAACAAAATAGATCAGACGCCTTTTATGTGCCAGGCATGCCTTTGGTTGCTCTGAGTGGAGCGGTTGGTACAACAGAGAACTGCCTAGTACCTGAGGGAACTGGTGCACATGTGTAGTCCCAGCTACTCAAGAGGCTGAGCCAGGAGGATCTCAAGTTCATTTGAACCCAGCTTAGGAAACTTATTGAGACCCAATAAAGGACTGTAGGTATAGCTCAGGGTGGAGTGCCCCAGAGTTCACCCTTCAGTATTGCAAAAGAAAGAGATAATGAGAGAGACAGAGCCTGTCTTGTTAAGCTTACAACCTGTTGGGGAGAGATAGTCAATCAACAAGCATGTGACGCTATACTATATCAGATGAGACCCAGTGAGGCGTGGAGAGACTGCGGGGTGGGAGAGGGATGCCAGGATCAGGGACCAGGGAAGGCCCCTGGCAGGTGAGGGAGTGGAGGAAGAAGGCCCAGCAGGGCAGAGCCTCTGGGGCATCTGAGTGGCCGGCGCTGGCCCGGAGCAAGCTGCTGTCTCCTGACGGAGCGGTCCCGTTGCAGGGCGGTGTCAGAGCCACGTGGGCCCTGGGGAGCTGAGTGGAAAGTCAGGCCATTCGATCGGTCGTGCAGGACCTTGGGAGTCACCAGTGGTCCAGGTCCCTTTGCCGTCTTCCCTGAGAGGGATTTGAGGGTTGCCTCCCAGAGGGACGTCCAGGGTCGCAGCAGCGCGTGCTTCCTGTCCCACGTGGTGCTGTGTGGACGCTGTCTCGTTCATCGATCGGCCCCTGGGCCTCAGGCTCCTGGGGTGGTGGAAACCCTCCTGTGGCTTTGTGGGTTTCCTTACAGCGTGCTGGCGGCAGCCACCTGCGGGAGGGGGGCAGCTGTGGACCCTGTTACCAGTCAGGGCGCGCTGTGAGCACGTGCGTGTGTGAGAGTGCATGTGTGCGTGGGCGGGTGACGGAGTTCTAGACACACAGACGTAGGGTGGAGCAGTGCGCAGGGCTGGGAGCTGACAGCAGGCAGCTGCAGGGGTCAGCTCCACCTCTGGGCCAGCAGGGACAAAGAGTCCTGGCGACCTCAGCCTCGGCCCTGCCCTGCGAGGCCACAGCTGGAGCCCTGTAGGACTCTCCCAGGGTGGGACATGTGCAGAAACTGGTCCGGAATCCATGTGCACAAGTCAGGGTTCCTGGTTCCCTAAACCAGCTGCGCTGGCTGCCCAGCTCCTCAGCCCCTGGGCTGGGGTGCAGGGCCTGGACTTGAGTGCGGATGGCTGTGTGGGGGTGCAAGGAGGAGACTGCTGTGCCTGCGCCTGGGGGTCCTCGGAGGACCCTGGTGGGCAGTGCCCGTGCTACCGAGGACACACCAGCCAGCTCGGCTGTGAGAACCGCTTCTGCTTCATGCTCTGCCGCCGGGTCCTCTTCCAGACAGCGCTGGCTTCCCGCGTGTGGCTCAGCTGCTGGAGGGCCCTGTCCAGCACGCTGGGAGTGAGCAGACCTGTCCAGCCGGGCATCTGCGGAGCCAGCTTCTGCGGCCAGCAGGGGTGCCGCCACGCCAGGGAGAAGCTGCCTGCTGCTGGGGCGGGGCTCTGAGCCCCTCACGCCAGTCCGCTGTGGTGCCCAGGCCAGTGAGCACCAGAACACTTTGGCTGACGGGAAGCTGCAGAGTAGCCCGTGTCTGGAGTCACGGAGAAGCTGAAGCAGATACAGGCGCGAACGCGACAGGCAGCCGCGGGGCTGGCGGGAGGCTTGGGCCTCGGGAGCCTGTTGGGGCCCAGGCTGTCACTCAGTCCTGGCTCGGGTCAGTGAGGCCTCGCCTTGTTGGGAAGGCTCTGCTGTGGCCCCTGCACTGCACCACCTCGGCCCTCGCATTCCCAGTCCACAGGCACCCTGACATTGCCTGGCCCTCACAGCCACTCTGAGCTCCGTGTGGGTGACACGCAGATGAGGCCTGAGATGGACAGGCCCCCCCGCCCCTCGGCACCTGAGCACTTACTGCAACCACTTCTGCCCGGCTCCCCACTCCTCGCACTGCAGTTCTGCAGGCCAGGATACCCAGGCAGACGAGCTTGCCTTCCCCCGACCCGAGGGGCGGAGGCTGCAGTGTGCAGGACGGACAGTGTCAGCTGCAGTCAGGAAGGGGCGGCAAGGCCAGCAGCACGAGGGCAAGTGGTGGGACTGGGGGCCCTGCACTGCCCAGGGCCCTTCCCCTGCGCTCACAGAAACCTGCAAGGTGTGCGTTGGCATAGGTTGCATTTCACAGGGAGGAAACCCTGCCCGGGAGGGTTAGGGATTCACCAGCGTCACACTGCCCCGGGACCAGGACTGGAAGCCACATGTCCAGGCTCCAGTGTCCAGACTCCAGTGTCCTTGGGCCTGGACATGAGAGGCACAGACTGCACTCCAGAGCCAGCGCTGCAGGCCGCCCACCCACTCCCGGTCCCTGGATGCCCTGACTTGAGGGATGGATGCCTTGGATCCATCCCGCCTTGGATGTCACTGACTTGAGCCAGGCGTCACGGTTTCTGCCGCTTGCAGTTAGCACACCCAGCCCCGTCCCCATGCTCCTGCATGTGTGGGTTTCACCTCCTGCAAGACTGCTCTTGGGTGCAGTCTTCCCCCGAAGCAGGAGAGGTCACTGCCTCGGCTGTCTCCAAGGCAACCCCTCTTGTGAGCAGCGGAGGGAAGAAAGTCATCCTTAAGGCAGTGGCTTCGTCCTAGGTCATGGGTGTCTCTGGGATGCGGGCACCAACATGGCCCCGGGGGCAGCTGAGGTGTGAGGGACACAGTACACTCAGCGTGGGGTGCCAGGCCCATGTTTGGTCATGGTGGGGTGATGTCCATCTCACTTATCCCATGTAAACTACATCTGTGACAAGATCCGGGTCCCAGGCCCAGCGCCTTTGGTTCAGGAGAGCGGCACCACTGTGACACCGGGGGCCTGTCTTGGGGAAGAGGACAGTGGAACTTGCCCTGTCTGGGTGGCTGGGAGCAGCCAGGCCAGGAACTGAGCCCCACCCCGCAGCAGGCATGGACCCACTGCCTGCCCGTGGTGCTGGGTGCCAGGGCTGGTCACAGGGCCCACAGGTGTGGAGATGGCGTGGCGCACAGGGGCTCTGGGTGGGGTGGGCGGGAAGGGTCCGGGGAGAAAGGGCGAGGCCTGGGGACGCGGGCAGTGCAGAAGCGGCTGTGGGGTCCGGTGAAGCTGCCGGGTCAGGACTCCTCGAGGATGGGACAGGGCGGACGCCTGTGGGAATGTGCGCAGGCCGCCGTGACCCACTGGGGCAGTGAAAAGGGGGCAGTGGCTCTTGCTGGGCTCCTGGGCCCCTTGCTGCTGTCAGGGGTTCAAGCAGGCATGGAGGGGGGAGCAGGGCCAGGCGCGGGGCTGCGGCTCTGACCCCCGCATGTCTTCCTCTGTCCGCAGTGATCCGAGCCAAGGTGGTCGGGAAGAAGCTGGTGAAGGAGGGGCCCTTCGGCACCATGGTCTACACCATCAAGCAGATGAAGGTGAGTGCACTCGAGGGTTCTGGCCACGTGGGGGCTGGGGTAATGTGTGCTGGCCTCGCCGCCCTGCAGGTGACAGGAAGGGGCCCACAGGAGGGAGGCGGCTGCTGCCCCAGAGCCAGGGCCTGTGCTGGGAATCGGGGGCTCCGGTCGGGACCCGCCCTTCCCTGGCCTCAGTCCTCGAAGCTGTGACTATAAAATGGCCCTTGCGAGCTTGCGGTACTCCACGGTGCCCTAGTCCTGTGCTGTCACGAGGCTGCAGGGTGGCACACAGCCCCCGGCATCACACCAAGCCTGTGCTGAGCCCAGGAGCCCTTTCCCCTGAGGAGCCCTCTCCAGGGAGGGGCCCGTCCCGCAGGAGGAGCTGTCCCCGGGAGGATTCCTCCCCAGGGAGGGCCCTGCCCTGCTCCCTCCGCTTCTGATCTGCTTCCCGCCCTGGCTGGGAGTGCGGTGCCCCCGTGTCTGCAGCGCTGCGCAGCCACCATGCTCAGAGCCTCGGCAGCCCAGGAGAGGAGCTACAGGCCTGTCCTCCCCAGCCCCCGACCTCAGCCTCCTCCCTCTCCCGGCCTCAGTCTCCCCACCTGCTCACTGTGCGGGATTGGGCCGGACCCCAGGAGCACTGGCACAGGTGTCCCGAGCACCCTGATACAGGCAGGGCCGCTGCCCGGCAGGGGCTGGTGGCCGGTGCTTCAGGGCACACTGAGTCTGGTCAGCGCCGAGGACCGGTGTTGCTGCCGGCCTGCCCCCTCCCGTGCCTCACTAAGATGTTCAGGGCTGGTGGGGGCAGAGGGGCCGAGGCAAGGTGCTGTGCCCAACAGGACGGCAGGCCCGGGAAGCAGAAACTGGGACGAGGCAGACATCCAGGATGGGGTGCCCCGGCCGAGGGAGCCCCCGCCCTGTCCCGCGTGCTCACAGTCATCCCTGCCCCTGAGGACGGGCCTGTGAGCCCTGGGGACCTGCTGAACGTTTGGCGTCTCCCAAGTTGACCTGGTCTGCGGCCCGTGCGGGGGCTGGAGGCTGGGAGCACTGCGCCCAGGGCGCCTGCTGCTGCGGATTCCGTTCCGCAAGCAGCACAGCCTCCAGTTATGTAATGTCCAGAGCTGGCCCTGGCTGGCTGCCCCTGGCCCACTGAGTCGGTCATGAGACAGCTCATGTCTCTGCGGCCCTGTGAGGGCCGCGTGGGCGGGGAGGAGCCAGCAGGAGCAGCCGCACCCCCAAACCCACCTTGCAACCTCCGGCAGCAGCGGGGAGTGCCAGAGCCCGTGAGACCACAACAGAGGCTGAGAACACATCCTGCTGGCTCCCACTCCCCCAGCTGTTCCCGGACACTCGGTGCCAGAGGGAGGCAGGGTCCCGGACTGGAGCTGTCTGAGCTTCCCTCCTGACCTGGGGCCCTGGTGGCAGTGCCCGGAGGCCTCCTGTGTGCAGTGTCCCTTCACCCATGGCATTGGGCAGTGGAGTCCGTTAGGGGACTGACACTTGCTGCCCGTCCATACCCCAGCACCCCATGCCCCGGAGGCGGGCTCATGGTCCTGCCCCCTGGGCACAAAGTCTGTATGCTCCTTCTAGAGGCCCAGGGCTGTGCACTTTATTGAGGGCAGTGCTGGTGCCACCTCTGTGCTCGTGGCACGATGCCCGGCCCCTGCCCTCTCACAGACTCAGTGTTTGGACTGCAGAGCTGCTCAGTGCCCGTCTGTCCTGGGAGACCACCTGGCTGCAAGCCAGAGAAGGCTGTGTGTAGCAGGGGCGCCCACCCCCCGTGCCCCAGCCCAGAGCCAGCTGGGAGTGGCCACAGAGAGATAAGCGGGTGATCGCTGGCACAGAGCTCCAGGACCACCGACACTGGTGGAGGGTGCTGTGCGCCCTGCCTCTCCGGGGAGGCCCTGAGACTCGCAGGGCAACACCATCGTCGAGGTCCTCAGGCTAGAAAGCGCAGGCTGGAGTCAGCGGGAGGTGACAGGGTTGGGCAGTGGCTGCAAGCCTTCCGCTTGCCTGCTGTGGGGCTGCCCCTTACCCTGCCCGTACCTGGCTCCCCGGGGAGTGAGGAGAGCAGCCTGGGCTTGCTGGTGTGGAACCCGGCAGCACCACTCGACCTGCAGCAGCCTGCTAACTAAGTCTGTCTCAGAAAAATCAGTGCAGGAGGAAGCTCAGGGGCCCAGGCAGCCCAGGGAAGAACCTTGGCCCCGGCCCCACGGGGCTCTGTTCCCGGGGATTAGAGCGCCTGCCCCAGAAAGTCCGAGGAAGGCTGTCCTCAGGCAGGGCTGGAGTTCAGAGCAGCTGGCGGCAGGCGACCACCTCTCCCCCTCCCTGCCCGTGTAGCCCTGGCCTCCCTGCCACACCCTGGGGTGCACGGTGGAGGGTAGAGGAAGTGTGTGCTGCACATCAGGCGTGGAGAGCAGCTGGGGCTCGGGCGCTGGGCTGTGCTGCGGTGATGATGGAAGTTTCCGGAACTGGCTGCTCTAATCTGCGGGACCTTATCTCCCACTGGGGCCATGGGAAAGCTGTCCTCTCTGCCAGGGGCTGTTGTTGTGCAGCGGAGGCATGCTCGGGGCAGGCTGCGGGGGACAGCACGTGGGGGACACGATGTCCCAGCTGGTCCCAGGCGGATCCCAAGGAACATGTCCTGGTCACGTGCTTTGAAGGTCCTGGCTGTGGACAGGACAGCTCTGCCGGCCCCGCCCTCGGTGCTTTGTTTAAGTAAATAAATGAGCCTTAGCAGGTCTCCTCCAGCTGGAAGCTCTGCAACCCTGGGGCCTGGGCCCCTCCTCCTATCCTGCGGCTCCGGGACTCTCAGCATTGCACAGGCCCTGCTGGGGAGCAGCCACTTTGTCAGGGGACTGAGCTCGTGCTCAGGGTGTCTCAGGCACGTACTCAGTGTCCCCATGCCTCGAGTGGTCTGGAGATAAGGGCAAGTGGTGGATTTAGTGAGCTCTTGACGTGCACCCCGTGGAGAGCCACACCGCCCCATGGATGTGCAGGAAATACCTGGCATAGCGGCCCCAAGGTCAGGTTCTTCACGGGAACCGCATGATGGGTCGGGCTCAGGGACAACTTTGCTGCGAAATGTGTTCCCCACCTAGGGAAGCGAGCTTCCTGGGCCTCCACGGCGGTAGCAAGAAGGGGCCCAGGCAAGCAGAGCCTACTGGAGGAGGAGCCCCTGCGTGCCTGGGCGGTCCTCGCCTGGCTGGGAAAGGTACACAGGACGAGGCTGGCCTGAGCCCTCCCTTCCTGCCCGTCTGAATTTGGGGATAAGTAGTTTTAAGCTAATTTTTCAGCACACACTGGATGCTGTATGCCAGGTACTATTCTATGTCATCTATTTCACTGGGGTCCAAAAAGGTTAGGTAACTTTCCATACGGTTGGTCAGTGGTGGGGCATGCTACACCCTTACTTGCTGCACTTCCATTGGGCTTGGGAGTCCTAGCACCCTTCCTTACCACGAGAGCCCAGGACGCCCTGAAACCGAGGCCCTGGAAACTACCCTGAGCCTCCCAGAAGGCGGAGGTGAGGCTGCTGTGCCCCTTAAGCAGGGCAGAGGCCCCAGGACTCTGTGGGTCCAGCCAGCAGCTTCGTGACGCCACCGCCCACCCCACCAGCAGCTGCCACTTAAAAGACAGAGGAAACTGCCTGTCAGATTGGACGGGGGCTTGGGTGAGATGTGTCACGGTGCTGTCCACTCCGTGTCAATCACCACAAGCAAACTAGCCACGCGTGCCAGGAACCGTAGAGGCCGTGCCCTGTTACACACCTTTGGACAGACGCCGAGGCCGCCAGCACTCCAGGGCCCATGTCCTCTGAGGCCTGGGCCACGCCTGGGTGCCGCTGCACCCCACTGGCTCACACGATCACACTGCTGCCTGGGCAGATCAGGGCCTAAGCATCACTCGTTAAGGACGCACGCGCGGGACTCTGGGCAGACACAGAACGGAGCCAGAAGGGAGACGGAAATGGGCTTTACTGGCCTCGGCTCCCAAGGCTGCAGGGGACGCCAGGGCTATGGTTAGGAGCAAGGACTCTTGGCCCCAGGCTTGTGACCCCGCCCTGCCGCTCGCTGGCTTTGTGGCCTCAGACAAGCTCCTTGAATGGTTTGTGGCCCCCGGTAGATCCCTCCACAGCGGCTTCTCTGGATTTCAGGGAAGGTGCTGGTGTTTGAGCCCTGATGCCAGGGAGTGCTGAGGGGCAGAAGGGAGGGGGTGCTGCCGGATGGACAGGAGGGCCCTCTTCTGGGCAGGTGAGCCTGGCTCCCTCAGAGCAGGTGGTGGCGAGCTCCAGGCCTGGGCCCCTCTCACGATGCCCGTCCCTCTCCCCGCAGATGTACCGAGGCTTCACCAAGATGCCGCATGTGCAGTACATCTACACGGAGGCATCCGAGAGCCTCTGCGGCCTGAAGCTGGAGGTCAACAAGTACCAGTACCTGCTGACAGGTGAGGCCCGCACGACTGCGCACCGCACAGGTGCGGGTGAGGTGTGGTTAGCCGGCAGCACCCAAGAACGTTGGCCGCGTGCCCGTCCTGCCTGTGAGGGCCCGAGCCTCCTGTATGTTGGGCCTGGGCTCTGGTCTCACTTTGCCCCAGCTCTGCGGGTCTCCTGGCTTGGGGACCCCTCGCTTTTCCACACATGAACAGGGGTGGTCTGTTGTGCTCCACCTCGCAGCCTGCCTGCCTTTGCAAGCGACCCACCTGTAGGCGCTCAGCAGGGTGGGGGGAAACCACAGCCATAATGAGCAGACCTGGTGGTCTCGAGCTTCGCTGTCCTCCGGGAAATGGGCCACATTCCAGCCAGCAGGGGTCAGGAGGGTGATGTGCAAGGCGGACACGGGTGGGGACTGCCGTCCTCCCAAAGCTGTGACAGGACGCGCACACTCTCTCCTTCCACAGGCCGCGTCTATGACGGCAAGATGTACACGGGGCTCTGCAACTTCGTGGAGCGGTGGGACCAGCTCACCCTCTCGCAGCGCAAGGGGCTCAACTACCGCTACCACCTGGGCTGCAACTGCAAGGTGAGCAGGCTGGCATGGGTCGGAGCGTCGCCGGCCGGTGGGGGAGGATGCCTTGTGTGGGCATCTGCTGGGGTACAAGGGCTCCTCAGGGTCCCCTGGCCCCCTGGTGTCTCTGAGCGGGGGCAGGTACAGGAGGTCCTCATGCTGGCAGTCAGCCCTGAGAACGCTCACCCAGGCAGCAGCTTGCAGGCTGCGGGCACCAGGGGTAGAGATGGCCTGTCCCCAAGTATCCCCAAGCTCTCAATCCTCACAACAGCCTGTGTACTTTGAATCATCGGAACCCCCATTTCACAGATAAACGGAGCCTCAGTTTAAGTCACCAAGCCCTAGGCTGCAGAGTCTGCTTCCCAGCCCAGGGCAGCTGCACTCCAAAGATGGTGCTTTAATCTTGCCAATTCCTCAGTTCCTACAACGGCGGACGTCTCCCTTCCTTGGGTCTTACCAGCTGCCTACCAGCTGTATGACCTGGAGCAAGTTACCAAACCCGGAAGGTAGTGACATAGACTTACGCCGGTGCTCAGGGGATGTGAACGCCTCTTACTTAATGCTGCTAGGGAGCTGATGGGGTGGGCACCCTCTGCAGTGGTCCCGGGTCCTAATCCAGGTCAGGCTGCACCAGGCCTGGGCCACCACCACGGCAGAGCCCGCTGAGTGCGGGGTGGGTCTCGTTGCAGATAAAATCCTGCTATTACCTGCCTTGCTTTGTGACCTCCAAGAACGAGTGCTTGTGGACCGACATGCTCTCCAACTTCGGCTACCCCGGCTACCAGTCCAAACACTATGCCTGCATCCGGCAGAAGGGTGGCTACTGCAGCTGGTACCGGGGCTGGGCGCCCCCGGACAAGAGCATCATCAACGCCACAGACCCCTGAGCCCGGCCCCGCCCACCACGCGCCCCTCCCTCCCCGCTGAGCTCCCCTCGGACACTAACTCTTCCCAGATGATGACAATGAAATTAGTGCCTGTTTTCTTGCAAATTTAGCACTTGGGACACTTAAGGAGAAGTCTGTGCTGTCCATGGAGTTGATCTGGAGCTCTTCTCCTGGCCCCGCCCCCACCCTGCTCTCTTTGCTTTTGACATCCCCTGTTTTCACCCTGGGGATTTCTGGCGTCCTGCCGGAAAGAATGAGGAATGTAGATGCCTCTTCCTTGTGATATATAATCTATATTTTTTTAGGAAAACAAAAATCAAAAAATCTACCCTCTTTGGCCACTGCAAACAGCTCCTCCTCTTCCTGTTTCCTGCTCCTCCTCTTCCTGTTTCCTGCTTGGTACCCCCGCCCCCAGCACATAGAGGATGCAGACAGGAAGTTGCTGAAGCCAACTGCTTCTGCTCAGTCTGGGCAGCCCACAGCTAGACTCCAGGTAGGCCTAAGAGCTTGTGTCCGGAGGAGACGCTGCTGCACGTCCCCAGAGGGCCTGTCTGTGTCTGCCTGCTCTTCAGCGCAGGGAGGGAAGGAGCAGGCTGCAGGAGAGGGTCGACAGGGTGCAGCACGGTCCCCAGCCGGGACGCTGGGCTGCCGGGCTGTTTCTGAGTCTGGAGTGAGCTCAGGCCGGAATCAGTGCTGGCTTGGGTAGTCAAGACAGAAACATCTGTCCGAGGCCGGGCAGCAGCCTGCCTTGTGCAGCTAAGGTGAGAGGTTGAGATGAGTATCTTTCTTCTCCGCCTCCCTCGCATAAGAGCCCTCTGCCACACGGAGGGAGAGGGAGGCTCACCCGGCAACAGCTGCTTCTGTGTGAACGGGAGCGACACACACCAGGCACCGCCCACAGACACAGGCAGGTGGTCTGGGCTGGGGGCGCTTTTCAGAGGTAGTGTGTAGCTCACAGGGGACGCGTCTGCATCCACACCTGCATACACCCACGTGCGGGAGGACATAAGCTAGTTTTCTACAGGACACAGAATTCTATTCAATGCTGTTAAATATACCAATAGTTTCATCTCTTCTATTTTGTTGCTGTTGCTTGTTGGGAGAAAACCATGACATTCCAAGTTGATTTTTTTTCTTTTTCATTAAAAACTGAGGTTCTGAATACCCTTGGCACCCTCTCTTCCCTCCACCTGGGGTCCCCCGACTTCCCTTTTTCTCCTGCTTCACCTTTGGGGGCCTTCACTTAACTGCCTTACTGGCTTGGCGGATGGCAGGTGACAGCTACTTCGCACAGGTGGGACAGCCCCGTGTCCTGCCCCGGCTGGAAGGCCACCCCTCTCTCCCGGGTTTGGGGACAGCTTGCTCCCTTCCTTATGTCTCCGGTTGGTGATGCCACCCCCTGAGGTCCTCACCCCGTGGAGTGACAAGGGGTGGTCACTTGTGGTCACTCGGGAGGCCTGACTCTGCAATCAACTGTAGGACTTTGTTGTGTTTTTTTTTTTTTTTAAATAAAACTATAATATAAATCCTCCTATTAAATAAAATTATTTTAAGTTTTAGCGTCACAGTGAGATGCTGAGAATGGCAGTGTACGTGTTACAGAGCTGGGACGACAGCACGGTGACGTTTAACACCACTGCTCTCTGGCTCTTTTCTCAGATTTTGGGTACTTATCCTCTATTAGTGTGCAGGTCTTCAGTTCATTCTACTTTAGGAAACAGCTGTCAACAGAAGTAATAGAAAAAAAGACAGACAAGTCACACATACACGCGCACATCCAGGCTGGGGACAGCATGGTGTCCAGGTTTCTCAGGACTGGTCCCAGGACCTGCTCACTTCCCTGTGGTCTGCACTGGGCCAGGGGAGGGAGAGGTGTGGCCTCTGTGGGTGGTGGAAGCAGAAAGAGCTCGGGTCTGCACCCCAGGAGTTTAGGGGTGAGCCCTAGACCTGATGTTTGGGATTGTCTTTATTTCAACCCCCAAGTCCACACAACGGAGCTCCGTCCACACAAGTGCCGTCCCTCCATGGGCGTCGGCATCTCTACTGTGAGGCACCTGGCCATTCCTGGCCCAGGACCGTCCCCCACTCACACAGTAAGGCACTTGAGGTGAGGCCTGGGCACAAGGTGCCTAAAGTTTCCAAACTGCAGAGTAATACACCAGCAGAACTGTAGCCCCAACTGTCAGGCCCTGCGGGGAGGTCCCGGGCACTGAGGGTCTTTTGCAAAATGATGCGTCAGAGGGCAGGTTTTGGCTTTCTATAAGCTATAGCTTTGTTTATTTCACCTGTTCACTTACTGTATAATTTAAAATCATTTATGTAGCCGAGACACTTCTGTATTGCAATCATATCATGAATGTTTTATTTTGCTAAATCTTGTGTCATGTGTAGCCTGTAATATGTGTACATTGTGTCTAAGAGAAAAAAAAGTGATATCCACATGCTGCCATTTTCCTGAATCAAATTCTACAGTGGAATGGAGGGTGAAAGACTTCTTCCTGGGCAGGCAGCGAGACTGGCAAGTCGGGGAACTGGAAGGAATAGAGACCCTTCTGGCCTTCTCCCTATCCGAGTTCCAGGTGTTCCCCCCATAGAAAGGAGAGCGGAAAAACTCAGCATGCTCATGTCCTCATCCTCTATCAGCTGGCCTGGCACATGGGATACCTGCCCCCTCTTCTGCTTCCCAAGTCCTTCCTTCCACTTGATTAGGAAGCCAGGATTTCTCCTGAAAAGTCCCGGGCCATGAGAACTGTGATTCCAAGTTCTCTTTGCTTCCTCCAGGCATCTCTGCTGCCTCCAATCAAGGAAGCCACGCGCCCGGGCTCTTGTCTCTCGGGCCAGTGGTCTGTGAGGCCAGGAGGTGATGTTGAGGCCCTGTGCCTCACCATCCCCAGCCCCAGGTAGGCCTTGTGATGACAGTGATAGCCCATAACCAGCATTCTTCATACCATGGTTCTTGAGCAATAAAAGAGACCAATAACTTTGAGTAGCTCTTCTGGGAGGTCCTGTGGCTCCAGGGGACACCCCGCCCCACCCTTCCCTCACCCTTCCCTTTCAGCTTGTGCATGGTGATCAGCAGTGCAGGTTGCCCATGATGGCACTTGAATGTCTGGCTCCTGGCTACCGAAAGCAAAAATATCGCTAGAGTATTCGCATCAGAGAGGAGCGGCATCAAAGCCTAATGGCGGGAGCACAACAACCGCGGTCACATAGTGGGGTGGGGTCGGCCACTTTGCAAGGGGCTCTCTGTGGGGGAGAGAAGGGAGGCGCTCGGTGATGTCCACGTGTTGGGGGAGGGCTCCCAGAGTTCCCGGGCCACCTCTCTCTCCAGCCAGTCCACAGTGCCAGAACCCAGAAGCGACGGAGAGAAACCAACCAGAGAAACCCTGTCTAGAAGGAATGTATTTGTTGCTAAATTTTGTAGCACTGTTTACAGTTTTCCTCCATGTTATTTATGAATTTTATATTCCGTGAATGTACATTGTCTTGTAATGTCGCATAGTGTTCACTTTTTATAGTGTGTCTTCTATTCTAAACAGTAAAGTGGTTTTATTTCTATCACATGCCGGCTGTCTCTCGCCTCATTATGTCCCGACTGCCCCTGGCAGGGAAGGGGCTGTGGGGTCCATCCTGCCTGCCCCTAGGCCTTGAACATGCCCTCCCGCCACCCGCACCACCACTCACACCTGTGAGCCCAGTCCTTCCCCTTGGCAGGAGGAACTTCACCTGGCCCAGCCTCTGCTCCCTGATTCTACTGCCAGGGTCCCCCCGCTGTGCAGCTCCTGGATCTCTGTGTAGCCACCCGGGTGGTACAGGTTCTCCCAGGCTGGGGCTCTGACTCAGCCTCCTTGTTTGCTTCCTAAGCATCCCACTCTGGTGGCACCAGGAGGGGGGCTCGCAGATGGCAGCCCTGAACGTTGTAGCCTGCTAGGAGTTCTGAGTGGAGCTTGGCCTGGTGGGAGTGCCAGGGACTCCTGAGGCCCCAGGACAACGGCTGAGCCCCTCCCAGAGCCCACAGCCAGGCCTGTCACCTGGCGCAGGACACGCATCCAACTGTCAGCCACACAGTGTCCCTGTTACTTCTATTGCCTCCTTTTGACAGGTGCATAACTCAGCCCGTCACGAGCCGGGCACAGAATCATGCGCGCAGTAACGTGTATTCTCCAAGACCCGACGCGGCCGTCTGCTCTGCTCGCGGTGCAGCTGAGCAAAACAGATTAACGTGCTGAAGGGATCTAGAACATAGAGCTAGTTTCCCACTTGTGCTGGCCAGAGGATGAACCGAGTTCTCGCCATTGTGTGGGTGCTTTGCTGGCAAATGCTGGTCTTCGCATGTGCCCTGCGGGTACCACCAGCACAGATAGACTGGATTCTGTGACCGTCACTGGATCAGGACAGAGTCAAGGGGACCCACACCTGGTGAGACGGCTCCCTTCCTGCAGTCCAGCGTCAGCACCCCCAAACAGCACTGCCCAGCTCAGCAGCCTGAGCTTCAACTCTGCAATCAGGCACAGTCGCCAACCCGGACTGCAGGACGCTTGTGTGTTACCGCACCCCAGATTCCTGGATGTCCAGGGTCACAGCCCTGCGTCCATTGGACCTGTTTAAGAAGACTGCCAGCCACACAAACACACACTGTAGGCTGCTTCCAGCTGCCCAGAAGGCCCCTACCCAACTTCCGCTTGGGCAAGGAGCTCTCTGCCACACTCAACAAGACCAAGTTAACCCGCCGCACCCAGATCTCCCGGACAGGAGGCCAACTACAAACTCCTCACTGAGCCAGCAGCATCCCAGACACAACCTCGGGTGCATGCATTACAGAACTGGAAAATAAGCGCACACAAACACGGTGCCTCTCAGTAATCAACACAGATACAAGGCGGCCACTTTAATTAAAACAAGAGTTGAAACCAGGTCCCGGGAAGGGATCCACAAAAATATCTGTTACCTTTATCACTACTTCTGACTCCAGCAGGTCAGCCCAAGCTGTCCTGATTTGCCAACAATTTCCAAAGTCCCAAGATGAGACTGTCCTTCTTGGAGCTGTCCCCCTTTGTCACTTGCCCCCTGCCCAAATGTCCCCTGGAGAGAGGCCCTGTCCCAGCAGAATCAAGTGTCCCCACCTGACACCGAGCCTCTTCCCCACAGCCCGGGAGGTCAGGGAGCGGCGACCCCGAGCCCCCTTCTCCATCCACAGCGACCAGAGACGCAGACCGATACTTGTTCCGCACTGCGAGAGGACGCGGGAAAACGGGCACTCACCATTGGCTTGTGGTTGGGGAAAAACGTCTGCTCCACGAGCGGGAACTTCTCGGGGCCCAGGGTATGGAAGATCTTGATGAGCTGAGAGAACTGGGATGGGAGGGGAGGAGACCTCAGTCAGCCATGGTCGCCACCACTGCGGGGAACCCACCTGCTCAGGCCTGGGCTCCCGGTGCCCTTCTACTGTGGGCGGGGCACCTGTAGCCGTTCCTGCTGCAAGGACAAAGGCCAGCTTCCTGGGCTGGACATTCGTCCTCCGCACGGTGCAGCTGCATCCATCCCTCCATTCCCGCCCGACCTCATAAGGGGTAGAACACTGGTTTAGCCTAACCATGCTGACTGACTGACTGATTGATTGATTGTAGTACCAGGGGTTACAGTGCCAGGGCCTGCGAACCCCAGCTGTACACAATGTGGTCCTGCCACATTGCTAAGTGGCCAGGGCTGGGGTCAAACTTTCAGTCCTTCTGCCTCAGCCCCTCAGAGTGCTGGGATTACAGGGATGTACCCCCATGCCCAGCTTTCAACTGCATTTCATGAGCACTTACTACATCCTCAGTATCCCACATGTGGTGCTCTGTGTTGGGTGCACAACCTACTGGTGTTCATGCCACCTCCCCCTGCAGCGCCTCCTTCCAGAGAGAGTGCCCGGCAGGGCAGTGGATGTTGCTGCCCTCATGTGCAAACTAGGGATGATGAGGGACCCCACCATGGTGGGCTGGAGATGCCTGTTACACAAGTGCCCAGTCTGCAGTGGTCCATGTGCTTTACAGCAGCACCCGGCCCCACCCCCCACTTCTGCACCTCCTCCTTGTGCACTCCTGCAAGAATGTGACAGGGAGAGCCCATACCCCCACTGCCGAGCGCCCCCACACCGTGCTCAACTACTGGAGAGACAGCAGGGCGCTGAGGGCCAGGGCTGATGAAAGCCAGGCAGGAGGAAGCGTTGGGGGGTGATCAGGACCACTCCCAGGAGCAGAGGACCCAAGAAGAGGGGTGTGTGCAAGGAGTTCAGGGAGACCCATGTGTGCACCGCATGGGCGTGGCCTCAGGTGCAGGGGGCAGTGAGAGTGGAGGCTGGGTGCCCATCACAGACCTCAGGACCCTCCAAGCCTGGACCAGGAGCTCGGTGTCCACTGGGAAGGGAAGGGGACCTGGGGCAGGAGCACGTGGGCCCAGGGGATGGGCTGCTCGGTGACCCTTCCGAACAGTGGCGCTGGGCTTTGCACCCCGTAAAGCTCAGTTGGAGCAGAGTGAGGAGACCAGTGAGGTCAGGTGGTAGAGATCGCTCACACTTATAAATCGGTGTGTGTGCACATCAGAAAATACCCGGAGCCAGCAGCGCAGGCACGAAAGACAGTGATGACTGTCGCCCTCTATCAAGGGTGCCCTCTGTGCCGCCCCGTGAACTCAGACCCCACCAAGACGGCGCTGTCACTGCTCCCGAGCCCTAAACAACGAAACTGAGTGCAGGAGCCCAGGCAGGTTGCTCAAGGGTACACAGCTCACGGCGGAGGAAACCTGGGGTCCCCCATGGCGCGTACCACAGGACACAGCACACGTGTGACGTGTGTGAGTGCACCGTGTGTGCCCCAGTCTGGGGCGGGCGGCACCTTTGGCCTGGCCTCTTCACTGCAGTGTCCCCAGGGCTTGGAATAGCACTTGGAACACCAGAAGTGCCCACAAATATGTGCTGCGAGGTGGAATCCCTTCTAGGGATGGAGACAGGTGATCTGGGGCAGGGGACAGTGCCCTCGGGCAGGGGAATACTTGGGGGTTCAAGGGTACAGGGAGAAGAGAGCTAGTATTTCAGGAAAAGTCTCTCCTATAGGTAACATCTGGGTGGAAATAAATGAAATGAGTGAGACCAATGAGAAGGGGAGAGATCAAGCCACTGAAGTTGGAGAGAAACACTTCATGTTCTGGCCTTCAAGACCTGTCGAGTTCCCTGGCCACAGTGAAGCTTCCCTGCCTTCCCTGTGCCATGAAGGGATGATACCCTGCTGCACGACTGTGATTACATGGGTGATTACATGCCGTTTTCTGGCGTGTAGCAAGTGCTTGATAAATAACAGAATGGTGAGCAGAATGCTCCACAGGACGGTGGCCTTCTATGACCAATCTTAGGCTGTGCTAGTACGTAAATTTTGTTAGGCAAAAATTTGAAGGGAATCCCAGAGCCCAAGTTGCTTAAATTCAATTTGGTGCTGGCTGGGAAAGGGTCACTGCAGCCTCCCACCCCTCCAGGACAGCCTGGCCAGGCACTTACCACCCAGGGCTTGCTGCAGAAGTTGTAGACGGAGTAGAGCGAGTTGACGGCGGGCAGTCCCCCGTACTGCAGGCCGATGACCAGGCTGCGGTAGTCCTCCCCGAGCGCCATGCTGTAGGCATGCTGGCGGACCAGCAGGAAGTCCGGCTTGAAGGACCTGCCGAGAGAGGGTTGACATGGTCACTCGCGGGCTGCCTGGTGGTCAATGGCCTGGGAGCCCTCAGCTCAGAGCAGGAGGTGGGGTGTGCTGGAGGAGGGTTGGAAACGAACTCAGGCTGCTCATCTGCATGGCTAAAGGGCTGCAAACACGGCGTGTTCTCCTGTCAGCTTTCCTGCACCGAATATCTGCTTCATTTGCAATCAGAAAAAGACGCGTCAAATACAGCTCAGTGAACAGAGGGCACTCCTCAGGCACCGTATGAATTATGTGCGTCCTGCGGCAGGAACAGCTGCCCGGGGGACATTGCTGCCATCAGCTCCGGATCACTTGCTCCGAAGTCAAACAGCAGGGCCAGGTCTGTGCCCCCCGCCGGCTCCCATGCCACGCTGGAGCAGGGGCTCCTTGTCATGCATTTGAGATCAAACCTGTCCTGCTCCTGCCAAACAGCAGCCTTCACAGGTGGCAGGGGTGTGAAGGCAAGGGACGCGGGCCCCAGCTGCTGCACCGGGACTCTCTCGGAACGATGCTCACTCACGGACAGAGCTGGGGGTCTGAGCTGCTTCCGCACGGCACAGCCGGGAACCTGGCAGCTGGGGGAAGCTGCGATCTCCGCGCCGCTGAGTGGGAGGGCGCTGCCTTGGAACTTTGGACAGCCGGCTGCAGGCCTCGCCTTCCAAGCCAGCACACGGCTCCTGGCCGAACTGCGCACTGCTTCACCCACACCGTCAAGGGTCACGCTATTTCGGGGTTCCCCGCTTCTAAGTCACACAAAAACCCAGCCCACTGTTTGTATGAGGTGTGCGCTCCTCATGCTATGGTCAGCTGTCCGGTGCATCCGGAGCAGAGTCCTCAACTTCACATAAACTGTGTCCCTTCCGAAGAACTCAGTGCCAATTAAAAGAACTCTCCATGGGAAAAGAGGTTCCTCCGCGCGCAGGAGAAGAGCACGTGCTGCACTTCGCCCTGACCCCGGCTCTCTTCACACCCCCGGCGCCTGCTGCCACCAGAGCAGGTGTGCACGGGACGACGATGTCGTACAAGAGCGTCACCCCCACCAGCACGGGAAAGACAGGCACCAGTCCCGCCCCGCTGCGCCTCCTTCCCTGGGCCACTGGGACTGTGACGTCTTGTCAGTCACCCCTGAGTCACTCTGTGCAGGTGAGGGACCCAATCGGGATGACAGCGACCCACAGGAGAAGGAAGGAAGGGAGCGTGCGTGTCCCCAACAGGGGTCTGACGGCAAGAAGGGACACTTAACTGCAATGTAACCATTGCTGATTTGATCTGATTATAAAAGCAGTACCAAAAAATCCCTTGGAACATGCAGCGATGTAAACAAAGTGTGCAGAGAAACAACTTGGAAAATTCCCCACAGCCTTCGTGTGCACATTTGGACCCAATCATCTGTTCTACCGTGTGCAACGTGCATTCATACTCGCGATTTCATGCTTGCTATTAATTGTCACTCTGGAATTTCCCACATAATATTGTGGTACAGGCACTTCCTTCAGTGTCAAAATACCCTCAGAATATAATTTCTGATTGCTACACAGTGGTGCACTGAATGATGAGTCACAATTACACCAATAAATCAGCTACACTGCCCAGTGGGCTGTTCCCAGCGTTTCACACACAAGTATCTTCGCACGCAGGTCTACGCCAACGTTCTTAACTGCTTCTGTAAGACAGATTCTGGGAGATCACTCTTCTCAGATATGTACACTCTTTCTCAAGGTAAATTGCACCAGGTTCCTCCGAGAGATCCACTTCCAGCCTCACCAGCACGGTTTTAGAACAGCACATTGTTCTATTTCATCAGGAATTTCCCCCAAAGATACCCTTCCCCTCACCATGGCTTTATTCTGCGTTTCTCTGATTCTAGTGGAATGGAACACTTTTTATGAGCCACTTGCATTTTCTTTCCTGTGAAGGTCAGGCTCACGTTTTTAACAAGGGGGTCTACTGTTTGCGGGTGTTAGAGTTGCTGGCCAGGCGCCGTCTTTCCTGGTGAAGTGGGCAACACGGGGCCTCAGTCAGGAAACAAACAAATGGCAGGGTCGTGTGGAAGGAAGGCCCCAACCTGCTTCCAGGGCCGACCCTGCCGGTGGCCCCCTCGCCGGTCTCAGATGGCACAGGGCTCTCCTCCAGAGGGTCTCAAACCCACCACTGAGTCAGATTCTTTGAAATCAAAGACAGTGGTCGTCTCTTCTGTATCTTTAAGGGCTTGGAATGCTGTCTCTCTGTCAAATCCGCACAGCTCCCTATGTAAAGCCTGCTGACGTCCCCCTCTTGGGGACCATGGGGGCCTGGCCTGCCTCCACCCTCTTCTTCCTCCCTTGGGGGTGACAGACCATTTCCCTTCCCCAGCTCCCCTCCGGTCTGTCGCACACTGTTCCTGGGCCTCAGGGACACCCGTCCTGCTGCGCCGCTGAAACCCGTCCAGTCTTGACAGCGCCTTTCTGCTGTGGGTGTAGCTGCGTTCCAGGAGGACCAGAATGCGCCCCTTGTGGACACCTGAAGCCTGAACGCTTTTGAATGAATGGATGATGGCATTAATGACTGTCCGTGTAAAGGAAGGCGTGAGTGCGTGAACACGGAGTGAATCGGTCCCTGGAGGGAAGGGACCTTTCCCTTGTGGTGCTGGCCAAGCTACCAGGTCTGATGGCCAAAACAGCCCGCAAGTAACATGAAGTCCTGTCATTACTGCTGCTTTACAAGGGCACGAGTTCACGTCCAAGGAGCAGTGTTAGCACCACTGAGACGCTTCCGGCCAGGGAATTCAGCTTCACCCCTGTGATCTCCTGAGATCTTCAGGCCCAACAAGTGAAGGACAAGCACTTCCCACATGTGACCTGTTGGTGTTAGGTGGACCCGGCACATGAGTGTACCCTCTGCCACCATCACCATATGGGACACACAGGTCCACCATTGCCTTATGGGATGCACAGGTCTTTCCTGGAAGGCAAGGGTATAAGCAATTCGCAAAGGATGCAGAGAAGTTAGTGACCCAAGCCTGGTGCCCTAGCCTGAAGTCCGCATCTCAGTTCTTCATCCAGCTAGGGCATGGCCAAGTCCTGCTGTCAGCCAACACCCAGGAATGCCCCTCCCCTGGTAGCTGCCAACCCCTCACCGTGGCCAAATATTCTAGCAGAGGCTGATGATCCCAAGGGGATTGGGACGTGATCCCTGCTCTCACGAAACTCACAGCCCCGGAGCAGTCAGGTCCCTTGTGCACGGGGCTTCAGCAGATGACACATGCATGAGGGAGAGAGCTGAGTGGCCAGAGTGCAGGTGCAGCCCTGTCTACAGCGCTGAGGGTGGGTGGAAGGCTGGGGGGGGCGCTCCTCACCAGGGCAGAGACCTGAGGGTGTTCAGGAGCAGGTAGTGGGGTAGCCTGGCTTGGTTCTTGTTTTGCTTGCTTAGTACCCTCCTTTCTTCTTTTGCACAGCCCATGATAAAACCATTTTTAATCAGAGAGCCTCTGATTAAAACCTGATGCCAACCTGATGGAGTTATGCCAGTGCTCTTTCTCTGCTCTGGTTTGAGCTGGGTCTGTCCTCACCATCACTATTGCCCTGGCCAACACTGGGAGGAACACTGCAACTCTGCAGCCGGTTCTGTGGTCAAGTCCAGGGTACGATGAGGGGCAGCCGGAGCCGGGGCCGGGTGAGCCACTGCAGCTCCCTTCGAAGCCCGGACACAACGCTTTCTCCCTGCCACCTGCCCAAGAGAGTCTTTCACAATCAGGGAGCTGCAGGTGGAGCATCTCTGGCCATGGAGAAGTGTCATGATCTCCTCAACTGCAGCAGCAAGAATGGGCTTCAGCGGGGCTAAGCCAGGGGCCTCCACTAACGAGCAGAAGCCTCATTATTCTCAGCCACTGCTGTTTTCTAACTGTCCCTCATTCAAGATCTCAGTTGGTAGAAGGGGACGATCATGGTGGTGGTGGCCGCATGCTGGCCTGTCACCCCAGCTCTGATCCTAGCCGGGCCTGGGAAGGCTCTAGACTTTCTGACCACCACATGTCCACAGAGAGATGCCAATGGTCATGGCACCCCCAGGAACACCTCTCTTCTCCCCCTTTGGAAATGCAACCTCAGCACCAACCCCGGGGCAAGGGGCCCCAGAGAGCTGAGCAAACCAGCAAGGGAGGTGACAGTCAACACATTCAGATGGCCGCCACTCCCGAAGGTTTATGATGGCCTCATCCCGCCACAAGTACCAACCGCAGGAAGCGAATGCTTTGCAGAGGGAGGGTTTTGGCAGCCAGATGGAAGGACTCTGGGAATTAGCCACGCTTCCCGCCAACCCAAGGACTGCAAGAAATTAGTCTGGGCCAAAAAGAAATTAGGTGGCAGCCAACCAAGAATTTGGCGCGGAGCAGACAACAGGATGCTTCACTGAGGACCAGCCCTGGGCTGCTGGCTACATGCCCCGGGCGGGACGCGCGGGGTGATGGACAGCCCCGCCCTGTGTGAGGTGTAGGAGGTTAATGAGACACAGACACACGCGGTGGAGGAAGAGGGCTTCCTGGGCTCCAGCTCCGCCCAGAGCTGTGGTCTCCTGGCCTCTTCCGTTTCAGAGCACAAGTCCTCCGCATTCACTTTGTCCTTTCTCTTCCTCCCCTCATGGGGCAGAGATCCCAGGGGACAGTTGAGCTACAGCCGTCTAGGTCAGGTCCCTGTCACAGAACGCCCTGGACCGGGGCTTACCAACGACAGACTCACACTCCTCTCTCTTTGGGAGGCTGGAAGTTCACAGCGAGGCCGCACCAGCGCAGTCTGGGAGGATCTCCTTACTTGCCCAAGCTGGTGGAGAGGTGACGTGCGACGCTGCTCCCCTCCGCGCGCTGCCACCCTCACACCCCTGCGGCTAAAAGCATCGTCCCAGGCAAGGATCAGCTGCCAACATGAATTTGAAGGGGACAGAAAAATGCAAAATGTAGTATCTCTGGCAGTGAGAAAACCTGTATGTCAAGGCCGGAAATGAGCCGGAAG